CAGTGTTCGATCTGGAGGCTGGAGAAGAGGAGCCGTTTCCATGGCTTTGCCAGCTGTAAAGGCTGCCTCCACTCCTTGGCTCAGAAGCCCACATCCTTCCCAGCTGGGCTTCCATAGTCAGCTTCTACGACCTGACTTTGCCTTTCCCTCATACAGACATTCATGCTGACACTGGGTCCTCCTGGATGATCCCACGTAATTCCCTATCCCAAGATCCTTACTCACAATGGCAAAGTTCCTTTTGCCATATGTTCTCAAATGCTGAGGATCAAGATGGGAGAGTCTCTGGGGGGACCTATTCTGCCTGTCTCAGAGGCGATGTGACACTAACCAGGCGTATAGTTGTAAGCCTGGCTCTTGAGTACCACCCAGACATATAGACGTGAAGTGGGGAGGGTGCTTCCCAGAGGAAGATGTGGTCCATTGCCAGGACTAGAGGGACAGAATACCAAGGGGACAACAGTGGCAGAAAACACAGAAAAAAACTTGAGGACTCTCTTGAACAATCTTCTGTCAGATTTCTTTTTGGAGTCAGCCAATTTCTTTTAGGCCTTGAGCCCACATAGTTGGCGAAACTGAAGTTCAGAATGCATTGTGGTCATCTTACTTCCCTCAGTTTTGTGTATAATGTATGTTTCTTTAAGGCAAGGAATTGCAGCTTGGTGCTGCCTCTGGTGTGTTTAAGAGCGAGTCACCTGATGATGGAGTGCGCAAGCTAAGACTTGGGGAGTATGGGAAAGCACTCCATTGCCTTGTTTCTTCTCAGCAAGTATGCAGCTTCTGCTGGGTGGGAGGAAGAAATAAAAGGATAATGAAAAATTACATAATGTATTAAATCCCCTAGATTTGGGGGAAAACAATCTTCAAAAGAGTCATAAAGCACATGAAGGGGCAATTTGAGGGCCTGCTTAGCTGAGATCAATTGCAATATCCTTAACAGCTGAGTTTTGAATCAAAAACGTACGTGAGACTTACAGGATTGAACAGTTGCACATCTGCTGACTTGGAAACAGTTGATGAAAAATAAACACAGTGGCCAACCCATGCACCTGGCCAGGCTCAGAAACGCTGGACTCTTGCACTGGGGATTTGGCTAAGTGGTTGCACCGCCTGCCTTGCAAGCGCAAGGACCCGAGTTCGATCGCGGTACCAAAAAAAAAAAAACGAAACACAAAAAACAAACATACAAAAAAACTGACTCCTCTGATGGCAGAGGCAGCACAGGAAGAGGAAGATCAGGGAATGTCACCCAACTTCAGAGCAGGAGAAAGACCATGTGCTGGCGTCCTCTACAGAAGAGACTCGGGTTATCTTTGCTCTGCATGACCTTTTGTTGGAGATTATGGGAATAAGAAACTCCACAGATGAAGAGGGAAAGACTCCTCAGTGATGCTCAGAAGAAAGGACAGTTATAAATGCTGAATAGGAATTCAAGAGGCAGTCTGCCTAATGGTTATGAGCTGTGTCCCTGGAAGGAGAGAACTGAATTTCAATTCCAACTCTGCCACTTAATAGCTATGCGATCGTAGGCCAGTGACTGTAAATTTTTAAGCCTCAGCTTTTTCATCTGTAAGTCAGGGATGATGCTAGTATAAATGTTGTTGAGTTGGCCCAAGGGCAGTTAGGCCCAATGTCTAAGCCCCTCACCATCAGCTCGCTGTTGGATCGTGTATGCTGTATGTTTTCTCTGCACACAGCTTAGTCTGGAACCTAGGAGAACAAGTCGTGTTCCAGCCAGGATTTTCTAGTTGAAACTGCAGACCTCAATGCAAGTGGAAACAAAAAGAAATGATGAATTACTACAAGGAGCTTAGGGACAGGGCTAATTTCAGGCCCAGGAGGATGGAGAACCTCCAAGGACACTGCTTTCCGTCTGTCTCTCTTCATTCTGCTTTCCTCTATGTTGGGTTCATCGTCAGGCAGGGTCTTGTCTCCTGGGGGCCATCGGTAGTTTTAGGCACATTTCCTCTCTTATCAACTAACCCAGTGGGTGGAGAACTTCTTTCTCAAGTGTCCTGGCCAAAGTCCCGAGGCTGATTGCCATGTCTGACCTGGCCACAGACCCAGCCCGAGCCCACCCACCGTTGCAGCCAGGCAGGAGTAGACGCTGGTTGGGCAAAAATAACCAATGCTCACCGCTGAAGGCCTTCAAGATCATGGCCAACCATTCAGTGAGTGCAGCTTGGAGAACCCAGGCAGCCTCCCTTCCACAGCCCGCCGGCTGGATCAAACCAAAGAGAGAGCAGACCACGTCCTACAACCGGTGATGTGCACAGGAATGTCCTCTTGTCCCCTTTGGCCCTTTCACCTAGTGCAGTAAAAAGTCACCAGGAAGGCATTACTGATTTGGGTTTTTGAAGGTTCTCTCTACATCCAATTTGCCAAAATATATCATATACGTTTTGCTAATTTTATACAAATTCTGAAGGTTATTTTCAAGAAAGATGTGTTTTCTCCTTCCTGATGCCTATTCTGGGATGGTGACGCTGTCATCTGCCTTGGGGGTGTAGTAATTGAGCTGGCGGTCTCCCCCCTTTCTGCTCCTGCCCTTCTCTCTCCCTTCCCTTGCCTAGTTCAGTGCTCTCCACCCTCCAAATCCTTTCTTTCCAGCCTGCGGTCATGGGCAAAGCAGCATAATGATTCTACCAAGATTCCAAACTGTCTTTATGATGAATTATTTCACATTTTAATGCATGACTTAAGTAAATTAATTCAGAAAGGAACTTTTGATCAGCACTGCATGAGGAAAGCCAGTATTACTTGGTGTAAGTAAAAGATAAATATAAAATTAAGTGCGATGAAGGCAATGTTACAAAACCCTGGCAGGGCTGCACAGAGCTGCCTGTGAGAGATGCCCGTGTCTTCCCTTTGTACAGAGGTGCCTCTTGCTAGGGACTGCTAAAGATGCTCTCGACATTTTCCAGGTCATAGCGAGATGGACTGAAAGAGCGGCAAAGGGGCCACCTTCCTGTCCTGTGAGGCCAGACTGGATGACACCGTGGGTGCTTCCCCCAGTCGTGGTGCCCGGGACACTGTAAGGACCATGTTCTTCTGTTGGGAGGTGATAAGGCCACCAAGATGAGACCCGCACCCGTGAGATTAGTGCCCTTATGAGAGAGGCCACACTGGGAACCCTTGTGAGAAGCTCTGCCCATGAACCAAGAAGTGAGCCTGAATGCAAGCCGACTTCCAAGACCCTGGCACTATGTGAAAAAAATATCTGCTGTGCATAAGCCACCTGATTTGTGGTGTCTGGATACAGTAACCCAAGCAAACTGTATTCCTCAGTTGGAACTCTCAAGGCTGGGAGCTTGGATTGTCCTGCTGCTTCCTCTGTGATTGAAGTTGGCTGCCGGCTGCAGGCCTCAGTTTCTCCAGGTGGTCTCTCCACCTGGGTTGGTTCGGATTTCCTAACAGCGGGGTTACCAAGTTAAGAGAACAAACATCCCCGGAAGCTGTGGTACCTTTTATGGCGAACCTCAGACGCTCCAGGTTACACAGCAGATCTCCCACGTTTTATGGAAAGAGTTAAGGGGATCTGTAGATGTTTTACATCTACCTCAGGTGTCCTGAGAAAGGAGAGTCTCACGGTGATCTTTTGGTGGAAAATCCTTCACGCAGAACCTGAAGGCCGTGAGAGGTGGGGGCGCCCGTGGCTGCACAGGTGTTCAGGGAAGGAGGGGGTGCAGGCGAAGAACTGGGACTCCCCAGACCACTAATGCACCGGATCCTTGTGACTTTGCTCCTTGGACCACTGCCCCACCTAGGCCTCTGAACTCCTGCCGCAGGCTGGGCACCTGGGAGGGCCGCGGTGCCCATGAGTCAGGGGAGTAAAGTACGCCAGCGCCTTGGTAAATAGGACCCGGGCGAGGGCAGGGTGTCACGGGGCGAACACTGAGGCGCGGTTCTTCCCTTAGACCCGAGATAAAAGGCAGCAGCCCCCGCGACAGCTTTTAATCGTCTCCTTGCTCTGAGTCCTGGT